CGTTGGCACTGGGCTTGGGAAAGGGCTCACCCTTCGCGGACGTCCACGCTTCCCACGCTTCCAGTGCGGGCTCATGGAACCGGTACCGACTCACTGGGAGGGTCCTGGATGTGGCAGAGTGCACCAGGTGGGCTGGACCACACCAGGCCGTGGCCTAACAATAATATTTGATGAATGGGGACTATGCCAAACATTAGCTCACTTGACTCCTCTCAACAACTGTTAAGATATTGATATTTCCTTTTCACGGATAAGAAAACTGAGACTCAAGAAGGTGGTGGTAAAGGTAGTGACCCCAGGTAGCACCTGGGCAATCTATCCCGAATTGCAGGAGGCAATGAATGCACTCCAGGCAGGAAACTCAAAGCAGATAATTATGAGAGATCCCCCAAAATTTCTGCCCTCTGATGCCTCCCACTAGCCAGGAATCCAGGCTTCTCTCACCCCAGCACCTGCCCAGGGAAGTCCCAGGCCTTTGCGGGGAGCATGGAGAAACTAGTGGCAGGAATATGAGACCAGCAACACCTTATGTTTGCACAACTATGTTGGTTCAGTCTTGAAGCCCAGCAAGGAGCCCTGGAGGTGGGCAGGTAATAATAGCAACATCAGGGACAGGAGCTAACTTTTATTACAGTTCATTATGTGCTAATCACAGTCTAAGCACTTTGCTTGGCTTATCTCCTTAAACAACCCTAAGGGCCAAGATACTATTATTTATCTCCAGTTCACAGAAAAGAAAGGCACCGAGAGGTGAGGCAATTTGCTCAAGGTCACCCAGACCTGACTGGTGTTTTTGGGTGGGGCAGGTTCATTACTGTATAAGATACAGTGAAATTCACCCTTCATAGTGTACAGTTCTATGAGTTTGGAAGAACGCTCATAGAGGTGTAATTACCACCATAATCAAGAAATAAAAGGGTTCTATCACTCCTCAAAACAGGCCTGACTTCCACCCTCCACTGCCTTGCGGGCAGCACTGGCCAGATTTTTATAGATGACAAGATGGAGGTGGGGAGATGTTGTGGTGTTTGCCCAAGATTGCTCAGCCAGTAAATGACAGATCCCAGATTCAAACCTTCACCTTGGGTCTGCTAGTCCAGCTGTCTGTTTAATGTAGATTCCTGCTTCTACAGAACCCAACTTGAGGTGGTTTGGGGTAGGAAAGAGAGCCCTTTGCCCTCAGATGGAGCCTCAGAAATCCCCACTGCACGCTCCAGTACTTAGCCAAACACCCATCCTTCTAGGGTAGCTAGGAAACAAAGAGGGGCCGGATTCTGCAAAGGCCTAAGCCACGAGTAAAGTGAGGGGCAGCCTCGAGGTGCAAGGAGCAGGGGTCGGGTTGGCCCAGGGTCCGAGTCCGGACCAGAGTGCCCAGTGCCCTGGTCAGCCTCACCCACCAGTCTGGTTAATGAGTTATACTGTCTTAGTTAATTCTCCCGCACGTCAGGGGCGGCAGTTCGAACCTTCCCAAGTTCCTCAGGTCCCGGATTGCATGAATTAGCATAGATTATCTGGCTTCCAGGGCTTCTGCGTGGCCCAAACCCCTTTCTCCCTCGCGTGGGCCGGAGTGAGACTTGGGGCTGGCAGCACTTGGGGGGGGGAGGAAACGGACCCTGCGGCTCCCTCACCCTTGCCCACCTGCCAGCCACAAGAGACCCCGGGGCAAACCTCCGGGCACTTTGCAAGAGGCGGGTGGCCTGCAGCCAGCCGATATTGCAGGAAGGGAGACAAGGATCTGAGCAATCTGGGCCCTTTGCCTGGGCCAAACGTTCTGCCTCTTGCAGGAAGAGAAGGGGATCTGGGCTCCAGACTGTGGCTCACTCCCTTGGGCACTTCTGGACACTCCTAGCCAAAGGTAGGAAAGGGTTTAAGGGAGTACCAACAACACTTTAGCGCCCAGTCTCTGACTTTTAAAAAAGGTTGAACGCCTTTACATTTTGGACACCATGGCATGCCTCACTCCACCTCCCAGACACTAACTGGATCCCCTTTGCCCTCAAGGTCATCTCCTCTCACGCCCCCAGCCAAGATCATTAATACTGGGAAATAAATGGTCATTCCCCACCCTGCAGCCAGGGCAGGGCTTCTAGTACCCCTAGTTTTGACCCTCCATCCTTCCTGGAGAGTCTTCCAAGGAGAAGGAGGACCTCTCCCTCTGGTTCCAGGATCCATAATCTAAGCTCACCTAAATCGGGTGTTTCTTTCTGGCTTTGGAAATGGACGTCTGACCTCTACCTCCACCCAGGCTTGCTGGCCAGCAACAGCCAAACACACCTTTCAGGGTGGCTTCAGGTTCCCTGCTTGTGTCCCTACAGCTTAACGGAGGGAGGGATTTCTGCACTGGAGACAGTATCTCTGGAAGTCGGTATTTCAGGCCACAGGGAGGTACATCTCCAAATGCACCCCACCACAAGAGGCTGGACTGAACACCCTGCATCCTTGGGCCTGGGGAAAAGGATGGTGGTGGGGGGGAATGCTGCAAAGCAAGACCACAAGAACCTGGGAAGGGTGAAAACCCAGCCACCACCCCAGCGCAGAGCTGGCGTCAGAGGTCTGAAGCTTGAGACAGGGTCAGGTTTCTCTGGGCATGAGGGCAAAGCCAAGGCCCACACCTGTCTTGTGTGTGAATGTGTATATGTGTGTATGCTCTGGGAAAGTTGGGGGGGTGCGCGGCACAGATGATCTCTGTTAGCTAAGGTCAGGTGCTCAGACAACCCCAGAAAACACACTTCTAAACTCTCTTGCCTGGAGGGTTTTCCTAAAGGGTTTCCCCTCCCCACCCCAAAACAAATTATGCCTGGAATAAAGAAGTCGAGAAATTGACCTAAACAGAAAAATACAGCAGATGAAACCAGAGAGGGTCAGGGGAGACCCTCAGGGCAGGGAGGTAGGTAGTTGGGCAAGCAGGGGACTGTGTCCAAAGACCCAGGCCCTCCTCTGATGAAGCTGGTGGTGGAAGCAATCTGGCTCTCAGGACTTTGCTCTTCTCCCCCCCTCCCAGGCGACTTTTCTCGGGTCTCACGGCAACCTAGTCACCAAACACAGGCATTTCTTCCTCCTTTAGAGAAATGGCATGGACCTCTAAGTAATAGATTTAAAGGATGCCAGATTTTTTTTCTCATTAATTGTAAACGTGCAAAATACCTGCTGGTACTTCACTTTAGAAGAATGCAATTGGCAAGAAGAAAAAAAAGGAAAAAGAAGCGGCTGATGAATAGATAATAGATCTTTAACCACCAATAAACAGAGAGCAGCGCCAGCAGCCTGGGGGATGTGATCATAATTATGCCGCTGCGTGAGCCAATGGGGACGAGGGAACTCGGCCCTAAAATCATCCCAAAACCGAAGGCGAGCTCGAAAATGCGGACACGGCCCGGGACTGGAGACGCGATCTGCCGTCCCTAGTTGCAAGCCCCGCACAGCAACCCGCCCTTGGCACGACAGATGGCGGAATAATAATAGAAATAATAATAAAACAACAACAACAACAGCAGCAATAGTAATAATGACAAAACTAACGCAAGTCATAACGACAGCGGAACGATAATAGTAACACCAAGTCCGCCTTTCCCCTGACCTTGGACCCCCTGGTCCCAGATATCACCCTTAGGAACTCTTTGGGGGAAGGGGAGCACCCCCCCCAGAGAGAAAAAGCCGGGAGCCTGCGGGGCTGGTGGGAAGCCCGTCGCCCGGGCAGGGTCTTGACACGTGTCTGAACTTGCAAACGAACTAACCGGGTCAAGAATCGCGAACGCAGCGACCCTGGGACCTCGACGCTACGCGTGGTTGGAGGACAGTCCCCCCGCCCCCCCACCCGGGCCCAGGCTACATCCTCACCTGGGAAGCAGCCGGGAGTTCTGCTGGGGGTGGGGACTGATGTAACCGAACCGCTCGGTTAGCCCTCGCCCGGAATCCACCCCTGCCTGCTTACCCTCGCAGTGCTCCGGGGGGCGATCCCAGCTTCGCGGGCGTGGGGCCACGGGGGGCAGCAGCGGCGAGAGCTAGGCGCGAGGGAATCTGCGTGTCCGTCCGTCCGTCTGTCCCACCAGCTCGGGATCCAGGGGGCCGCAGCCGAGGCGGCGCGGGCCGGGGACTCTGCAGGGACCGGGGTGCCCCGGAGGGAGTGGTGGTGGTGAAGGAGGAGGCGGTGGCAGAGGGGGAGGAGGTGGGGAAAGAGGAGGAGGAAGAAGAGGAGGAGGAGGAGAAGAAGGAGGAAGAGGAGGAGGAGGAGGAGGAGAAGGAGGAGAGGAGGCCGAAGGAAGAGGAGGAGGCGAAAGAGGAGGAGGAGAAGCCACAGCGGGCGCCGCGGGAGCGAGTGAGCTAGGAGCGCGGGGCGAAGGCGCGGCGAGGTCGGCGGCCTGGCGGGCGCAGGAGGCTCGGCCGAGGCAGCGGCGCCGACTCCGTTCCACACTCGGCCGGGATCCAGGCCTCCGGGTTCCCAGGCGCTCGCCTCCCTCTGACGCACTTTAAAGAGTCTCCCCCCTTCCACCTCAGGGCGAGTAATAGCGACCAATCATCAAGCCATTTACCAGGCTTCGGAGGAAGCTGTTTATGTGATCCCCGCACTAATTAGGCTCATGAACTAACAAATCGTTTGCACAACTTGTGAAGAAGCGAACACTTCCATGGATTGTCCTTGGACTTAGGGCGCCCTGCCCGCCTTTTGCAGAGGAGAGAAAACTTTTTTTTGCCTCCCCCGAGAAACTTTCCCCCCCTCCCTGCCTCCAACTCCGATCCCCCCACGCCATCTCGCCAAAAAAAAAAAAAAAAAAAAAAAGAGAGAGAGAGAGAGAGAGAAAAAATTACCCCAATCCACGCCTGCAAATTCTTCTGGAAGGATTTTTCCCCCTCTCTCCAGGTTGGGCGCGTTTGGTGCAAGATTCTCGGGATCCTCGGCGTTGCCTCTCCCTCCCCCCTCCCCCTCCTTTCCTTTTCCTTTCCTTTCTTTCTTCCTTTCCTCCCCCCACCCCCACCCCAAACAAACAAGTCCCCAATTCTTGTCTGTCCTCGCCTCGGGCAGCGGGCGGCGGAGGCAGCGTGCCGCGGTCGCCGGGAGCCGGGAGCCTCGGGCGCCCGCTCCTCGGCGCAGCATGTTCCAGCCGGCGCCCAAGCGCTGCTTCACCATCGAGTCGCTGGTGGCCAAGGACAGTCCCCTGCCCGCCTCGCGCTCTGAGGACCCCATCCGTCCCGCGGCGCTCAGCTACGCCAACTCCAGCCCCATAAACCCGTTCCTCAACGGCTTTCACTCGGCCGCGGCCGCCGCCGCCGCCGGCAGGGGCGTCTACTCCAACCCGGACTTGGTGTTCGCCGAAGCGGTCTCGCACCCGCCCAACCCCGCGGTGCCCGTGCACCCGGTGCCGCCGCCGCACGCCCTGGCCGCCCACCCCCTGCCCTCCTCGCACTCGCCACACCCCCTCTTCGCCTCGCAGCAGCGGGACCCGTCCACCTTCTACCCCTGGCTCATCCACCGCTACCGATATCTGGGCCACCGCTTCCAAGGTACGTGCCACGTCGCGGGGCTGCAGCGCGCAGCGTCCTGCACTGCCCTCGGCCTGCGCCGGGTGGGCGCTTGGCAAGGCCTGGCAGGAGGTTCCTCCAGCTCGCGGGCCCGCGCGCCCGGTTCGGAAACTGGGCGGCGAGGGGCCGGGCATGGTGATGGTCCCCAGTCTTCGAAGCTGCGGCTGCTTTGGGGCCTGGCCTGGGGCCGCTGGACCCCTTAGAGGGGGGCGCAAACGGAGAAGTTGTCCCCGAGTGCTCTCGGGTGGAGACAGGCCTGGGACAGCCTTCTCTGCGCGCCGGCCGCCCAGGAGTCCCGGAGCCCGCGGGGTACCCAGGCTCTCCGTCTCGGCCGCGGTGCCCTTGCTGCCCTAGCTCCGAGGGACACGGCCACGGCCCGTCGGCCAGGTTCGCCTTCGACTGCGTAAGACCCTGTTCGCCACCCACTCGTCGTCCCTTCAAGCCTAGCTTCGCGACTTCTCAGTTCCCGACCCTCTTCGGGCGGCGAGGAGACCCTCGCGCTCCCAGAGAGAAGCCTGAGGGTTTGTTTTTCCTTTTTTTGGGAAGCCTGGGGAGGAGCCCGGAACCCTCGCGGGTAGTAACCTCCGAGGCTCGGCACTCTCGCCAAGACCTGCTCAAATGGGGGGCAGAGCGTCCTCGGCGGGAAGGCAGGTCCGGTCTGGTTTTTGTTTTTGTTTTAAAAGAAATGAACCGTATGAGGAGACGGGCTGGACGAAAAGATCTGTTTAAGTGTTTACACTTCTTGCTATTTTTTTTAATTTGCTTTTTTTCTCTGGGTGGGGGTAGGAGGAAAGTTAAAACTCTAGTAAAGGGAACAAGTAATTAGTTTAGTGGTTGGAGCTGGGGGGAAAAGACCTGCCTCCCGCGACAGCCGATCAATACTCCGCGGCTTGTCCATTCATTAACCCTTTGCGTTCCTGCCAGAGCCTAGAATCCGGTAGATGCCACCACCACCCCCAATTACAAACAAAACAAAACAAAACAAAACAAAACAAAAACAACCTTTCATCCTAATTCCGGGACCGGATTTGCTTCCATTCTCGCCTAAACTGTCGGTTTGTTTTTCTTTGTTTGGGTCTTTAGTGAATTGATTTCCCACCCTCCTGAGTGAACCTGAAACTACTCTGGCTTTGCTCACAAAGTTTATGGCTCCTTTCCTCATTCTCTGCCGGCTACACTCTTGGTGCCCCCACCAGGCGCGAAGTAGCCGGGATCTTCTGGGACCGCGGACAGTCCCATAGGGCGCCCGCAACTCGGCAGCCCCTGGGTTTCGATCCCTTCGCTCGCATCTTCTAGTTCTCTGGAGCGGGGCAGTGCTGAAGCCGGGTCCTCAGGAGGCAGTGGCTGCGGAAACCCGGCGCACCCGCCGGCGAAATTTCTGTCCCGGCCGGGCCGCAACCCCACGCCCGGCCTCTGCACTTTCCCGGAGGGGTAGAGACTTAAATAATTCAAAATTAAGTTCCTGAGAAAACTCTGGATCGCGGCCCGCTGTCTCCACCCCGGGGGTTAAACTTCCGCGAGGCTAGAAAAAAGAGAAAGTTTCTCTGGGTTTTGGGCGCCAATCCCCGGGCCTGGCCCTGCTGCCCCTCCTCTGCCCGAGCTCCCGGGCGCGGAGGTGGTGAGGCCCGTGGCGCCAGGGCGGCTGCGAAGCCCGCCGAGGTCAGGAGCCTGGGGACTTGCCCCGCCGGGGTAGCGGCTGGATGGGGGCCGCACAGGTAAGGGCTCGGTGTTCCGGGGCGGGCGGCTGGGCCGGCGTCCTCTTCGCGCACGTCCGGAGGGCCCCGGGTCCCCACGGGCTGAGCCGCCCTGGCCGCGCAAAGGCCATGAGCGCTGTGCCCCGCCAGCCCGGCTCGGGAGAAGCGCGCGGCCCCCAGCGGGCCAGGATGGTCCCCTCTAACGGGACTTCTGCTATATCCCCGGCAGGGAACGACACAAGCCCGGAGAGCTTCCTTTTGCACAACGCGCTGGCCCGAAAGCCGAAGCGGATCCGAACCGCCTTTTCCCCGTCCCAGCTTCTGAGGCTGGAACACGCCTTCGAGAAGAACCACTACGTGGTGGGCGCCGAGAGGAAGCAGCTGGCGCACAGCCTCAGCCTCACGGAAACTCAGGTGAGCGAGGCGCGCACCCGGCGACCCCAATCCCACATCTCTGGCCCCACGCAGCTAGCACACAAGTGTGGAGCTCCGAGAGGGCCTTTGGCAAAGAGCCCGGGAGCTGGTTCCACGCTTGGGTTCAGAATGTGTAAGTTTGGAGGTGCCTGGCTTCCCTGGGCTCCAGCAAGGGACTCTAAGCCGACCCACCCCAGGCTCTGGGGAGACTGGCTGAGTAGCTCCCTCCTGTCCAGCTGGGCATGACTTACAGTTCTTGGTTAAGACACCTGTGCACTTTCGGTTAGAGTCTGGGGACAGGGCTGGGCAACGGGAGAAGGAGAGCCCAGAAGGGTGAGGGGCGAGGGTGGGGGGTGCATGAGGCTCGAATCTGGAGATGTCTGGGAATGGGTTAAACGCGAGTTCTGTGCCACTGCAGACCCAAGGTTCACACCGACGGCTCCAGTTACTCCCCTTGAGGGGATCCGAGAATCAGAAGGCAGAGGCCAGACATCCTAGGTGCGTCCCTAAATCAGCGAAAGAGAGCTGGAAGGCTGCAGAGAAGGGCTGCCTCGGGGGACAGACCCTGGCGGCGCAACAGGGCCCGGAGGCGGGCCTGGCTCTGGCTTGCTGGGGTCGGGGAGGGGGCTTAGGGCTACAGTAGGAGCTACTGTACGTGGAGCTGCAGGGCGGGGTCAAAGTTCCCGGCAAACAGTAACGTTTTGGGGCAGATTAAGTTGTAACACTTTTTCTGGGAGGCGCAAAGAGGTCGAAGCTTTTGTTTTTAAAACGACCCCCTGGACAAAACCGAGGAGGGCCTCGCGGGTTGGTGCGGGGCCCGGCACAAGGCGCGGCCCGGCTGATTTCTCCTGGATAGCCGAGGCCGCGGTGGTCTTTGTCCGCCTCGCTGCCCACGCTGCCTGGAGTCTTTGTGTGCGTGTCAAGCCCCGAGCGCACCGACGCGCGCCTTGGGCGAGCGCCGGGGAGAAATGAACCGTCCTCCCCCTCAATTAGCAAACTCAAAGCAAATTAAACTCAGCCTTGTTCCAGCTCGGCTTTTTCATGGGGCACTTTGGGGGACTGGGGCATTGGGGAGAGCAAGCCGGGACCTGGGCCGGCCTTCTAAAAGGAGGGAGTGGGGCGGGCTTCAGGGGCCTGGGCTTCGGCTTTCAGGAAGGGACAGGCCTGGGGGCAGGAGAGGGGCTGTCACCAGCGTTTCCCTCACTGTACCTCACTGCTGGGAAGCTGGGACAATGTTGGTGTCTTGTCTGGTGGCTGAATGGGGACCCGCTGCCCAGCTACCCCAGGGGGTGATGGGGATGGCAGCCCAGCCCCACATCGTTGCTGCCTGGACCTCCAGCAGCTGTTCTGGGGAGATGAGGCCTCCAGCACTGCTCTGATGGGAAGTGATGTGAGCAGGGTGTGAGCTTGGGCCTGGTGGGTCCTGGGGCTGGTCCGGAGGAGGTAAGGGAGGGAGCTCCATCTCCTCTCCTCTTAGTTTCTCTCTCACTTCCTCTTTATCCCAAGGTCTTTCAGAAGCTTTCACTTTTGAGCTTCTTTCCTAGCTGGAAAGGTACAGCTGGGCTGGTCCCCAGGCCCCTGCATCCCACCATCCCCCAGGCTTCCTCCAGGACTCCCCTGCCCCCCATCTCGTGCTCACCTGCAAGAGTCCTGGGCAAGGAAGAGGAAGCTCAGGCAAATCCTGACTGCCTACCCAGGGCCGAGGCCTTGCAGAGGAGGCGCTATATTTAGGCAATACTGCGGAAACAGACAAAATAGAAAGCACATTGGGCCTTGCACAGGAAAGCTGCTGCAGCCGGTCTTCCCTGCATTGACTAGGTAGAGGGAGTCAGGGACTTGTCTCTTTTTATTTTCCTTTACTTATTATTGTTGTAGGGGTTTCCCAGGGTTTGTAAGGCTTTTGCTCTCAGCAGGAGGTGGGTGTCCCCTTAAGGGCCAGGCGAGTGAGCAGGGGCACTGTGCCCTCTGGGCCACCTGGCCTGGGGCAAGCGCCCCGCCAGGGCCCAGAAGGATAGGGAGTCAGGCTTCCTAGCTGATAGCACTAGGAGCTCGGCTCCCAGAAGGGAGGCCTTGGAGAGGCCGCCCTTTGGATGCTCAGCTTGGGGACTGGGCTCTTACAGGCGCCACATTGAGGAGGAAGCGGTGGGAGGGCACTGTGGAGGAACTAACGCACCCCATCTGCCTCTCGTCCGCAGGTAAAAGTATGGTTTCAGAACCGAAGGACGAAGTTCAAAAGACAGAAGCTGGAGGAAGAAGGCTCAGATTCGCAACAAAAGAAAAAAGGGACGCACCATATTAACCGGTGGAGAATCGCCACCAAGCAGGCGAGTCCCGAGGAAATAGACGTGACCTCAGATGATTAAAAACACAAACTGAACCCCACAGAAACGGACACCACGGAGCAAAACAGAGACAGGGAGAGGAGGGGTAGAAGAAGAAGAAGAAGAAAGAAGAAGAAGAAGAAGAAGAAGAAGAAGAAGAAGAAGAAGAAGAAGAAGAAAACAACCTACAAAACAAAAACAACCCCCACACACACATTCACCGAGAAGAGGAAGAGGGAGTCAGAGAGAGCTTCGGCGCGTCGCAGACTTTGGGCAGCGAGGGCGCAGGGTCCTGATCCCAGGCTGCATGGAGATGGCAGAGGATGCAGGCTTCTTGATCAACATGCAACCCTTGTTTAAAGAGGCAGCTGAGTGAGAGAGAGAGAGAGAAAGAGAGAGTGAGAGAGAGAGAGAGAGAGTGAGAGAGAGAGATCCAAATGTGGCACAGCCGAAGGCACTCTGAACAAGGGAAGCTGCCAGTCAAACGCCAGCCCAGCGAGACAAGATGATTGGCAGGTATTCCGTTTATCGCAGTCCTGATTTAAAAAAAAATAATGATAATAATAATGATGGTAAAAGAAAACCCCAACCAGGCACAGGACTTTTTCTTTTGCACTTCGCAGAGTTTCCCCCCAATCTTTAATTAGTAATACTAGCAATCGAAATTCCATATCCAGCCCCATCCCACACCTGTTCAAAAACTTGAATTGCATGTAGCAGTTGTTGGGCGAATGGTGTCTAAAGACAGAAAATGAATTGTAATTTTCTTTTCCTTTTAAAGACAGGTTCTGTGTGCTTTTTATTTTGATTTTTTTTTCGAGAAATGTGCAGTCTGTAAACACTTTTTGATACCTTCTGATGTCAAAGTGATTGTGAAAGGTAAATGAAGTAGGCTCAGCGATAGTGGTCCTCTTACAGAGAAATGGGGAGCAGGTTGGGGGGCTGGGGGTGGCGGGGGAGGGTGCCCACAAGAGGAGTCAGGACTTGTGCTGGGAAAGAAAAACCCTAAATTAATTCTATTTCTTGAACATTCCCTTTCCTAACATCCCGAAGGCTTAAAACCACGAAGTAAACTCCTTTTGGTGGTTGGAGAGATTGGCCAAATTCAACCATTCACTGTAAAGGCCATTCCCAAACTTTAAATCTATCTGTTGCAAAATCTGAAGGACTGTAGTTAGCGGGGATGATGTTAAGTGTGGCCAAGAACATGGCGGCAAGTTTTCAAGCACTGAGTTTCTATTCCAAGATCATAGACTTACTAAAGAGAGTGACAAATGCTTCCTTAATGTCTTCTATACCAGAATGTAAATATTTTTGTGTTTTGTGTTAATTTGTTAGAATTCTAACACACTATATACTTCCAAGAAGTATGTCAATGTCAATATTTTGTCAATAAAGATTTATCAATATGCCCTCAGAGTAGTCGTTTTGAGAAATTGAAGTGAGTTTTTTTTTTTTTTTTTAAGTATCTATAATTTGAGTGTGGTCCTTCTCCAGTGAGGCTCAAGAAACCCAGGCTCCTCACCCACAAAAGGGCCAGACTGATGGATTCTTGGGCATTTTAAAGAGAGATGAGGGTGGAAAAGGGAGAGGATTAGGAAAACTTAAGTCCTTCAGAAAAGGGATGGGAGAAAAGTTTTCCAACCAGACCTTTGCCCATTGCAAGGCTCCCTGAGGGAGTTTGGATTTCAGGTTAAAAATTGCTTACTTCTCTTAACTTCTAGTTGTTGTCGTTGTTTTAATCCGGACATATCGTTAAGCGTAGAAGAATATTCCCCTAGGACTGGAGGAAACACTTAGCAGGATCAGAATCCTGGGACTTTTAAACTGTGCTTCTGACTTCAAACCCTAAAATACAAGCTCCTCCCCCCCAGTCTTTTTCTTCCTTCCCTTCCTTCCGTTCCTCCTTCCTTCCCTTCCTTCCGTTCCCTTCCTTCCTTCCCTTTCTCCTTCCTTCCTTCCTTCCTTGCTTCCTTCCTTCCTCCCTCCCTCCCTCTCTGTCGGGCCCCAATCTGCTGAAGGTGAGGAGGCAAGCCCAAGGGCTTCAGCAGCCTTATAAGGCAAGCATTCCGAGAAACCTTCAACTCTTAATTTTAACATTAAAGAGAAAGTTGTAACCAGTCTTGGAGGAAACTTAGCTTTTTTCACTCCTCCTTCCCCCTTCTGGGGGTACGAGGTTGTTTTTGCATGCTTCATTTGCTTCTTATCCTGATAGGCTGCATTAATCAGTTTTATTTCCATTGATAGAGAAACCTCGTCTGTTCTGTTCGAGCTACAAAGCGTCCTGCGAGCTTTTGTGAAAGTGCAAATCAGTTTAAGCAATTATCATACCAGGAATATGAAGGGGAAAGAGGAGGCCTTGCCCAGTGGTCTCCTTTAATCTCTTAATCCACGGATCCAGGGGGGCCGCCTGGACATAATTTAGGACAATCTCCCCACCCTTTACACTGTGATAAGGCCAAGTTACAATGCAGGGCAAAAATACAAGCTTTGTTAACACCCTGCCTTGAAAAGTTAAGATTAGACATTCCGTGCACGTGTGGGGACTATAGGGCACTATGGAAATTTTTCTTTCTTTTTTTTTTTCCTCCCCTCCTCTCTTCTAAAGTAGAATTCATTCTTGGTTTCTCTCCCTCTTTTTTTTTTTCTTTTTCTTTATCTCTGCCTGTCTCTCCTTTTTTTCTCCGTCTCGGTTCTTCTGGAGAACCCTGGCTGTCCATGGCACATTTTCACGCAGACTGCTCTGGGAAGGTGTGTGTGTTGTTGGGGACACTTGGCTGCAGGAGGATGCTGGGGTGAGGCGAGCTGCGCGGAGAGTTCCAGGCTGGCTTCTCAAAGGGACAGGTGCTACCCTGGGTATCCTGGAAACTCAAGTGGGCTTTCCAGCTGCTTTGACAAGGAGACCTCCCTGTCGGATGGCTGTCCCCAGTGCTTTGCAGTCACTGCCACACAACCTCTTCCCCTTTTCTTAAACAAGTTACCTTCTCCTTCCACTCCTTTCCCCAAACCCAGAATGCCTCAAACACGGAGCACGGACATGTCAAAATTCCGACTGGCCTTTCCAGAAAAAAAAATTTTCCCATCTTAATAAAAGGCGTATTTCTGCAGAAACTATATACTTTTTTTAAGGACAAGAAAAGGGATAGGGTGACCAAGATTTTTTTCTTTCTTCTTTTTTTTTTTTGGTAAACGTCCTATGTAGTGTAACAGCAATAAAATCATCAGAGAATACTATTAGCTCTGAAAAAAAAAAACCTAAAAGCTTTATTACAAACCAAGCTTTGAAAATAGGGGGGATTAGGCGGCTGAAAGGGTCCCACAATGGTAAGAAGAAAAGGTTTCATGCTAATGAGGTTAATGCCCTTTGTATCTCAGGCCTCCACATCTTCATTACGCGCTATCTCCGGCTGCACCGAGCGGCTCAGAGAGCCGCAATCCACTCCAACGCCCCCCTTCCCGGCCCAAAGAAGGATTTGATAGCAGCTCTGTTCAAACTAGATAATTATATCTTTTCAAGTCGGAATTAAGATAAAGAAAGTGAAGCAGAGGCGGCTCGCCTTGATCCACTGCAAACAAATTTGGCGCACTTTCGAGTCCTTCCCCCGCCTCAAAAAGGCAGGACAGTCAGCTTATTAGCCGCTCGTTTGCTTTATTAATTCATCTATTTAAAGTGGCAGGATTAGAGCGTCTAATGTGGACGCGGGCTGCCGTGGCGTTGAGGAATATAAATATTTGCGAGATGCCATCCCACGATGACTATCTGGGCGCAAGGCGCGGGGCAGGGTGCGGGGCGCGTGTGCCTTGCGGCTGCGTGCCCTCCGCAGTGAGCGCATGCGGGACTGGAGCCCTTTGGGCAGGGGTACGTGGGAGCTGGGTGCCCCAGGTCTGTGTACTACTGCGTGGTATACGAGTGCCAGGCCTAGATGCCCCTGGAGGGGCTCCACGGGCATCGAGGGGGCAGGTCCTGCGTTCTTCCCTGCACATGGCGAAACTGCAAGCGCGTTGCCTTGTGTCCCGCCTGTTACCCCAAATGGGCATGTAGGTTACATTTGATCCGCATCCTGCTCCCTTGTTGATTGCTGGTGGGCCTTTCCCGTGTAGCCCCCTGAGCCAACTGGATTTGGGGTGGGTTCTCCGTTGCGTTACCCTGAGAAAGTCAAGCGGAGTGTACGGTGCCCGTGTGCCCCTGCGAGGTTCTCCTGCCAGGTACACGCGGCCTCCGTGTGCGTTTCTCCCTTGGGGTCCTATTCCTCCGCAGCCAAGGGTCCCGTATGCAGGTGCAGGGCGGGCGGGGGTCGGAGTCGGGTTTTTCCGAGGCACCAGAAACTCCTGGGGTGGCAGAAGCCTTGGACCTCCGGATGGTTCCCCCTTTCTGCCTTTCCTTCTGGGTGTGCGGTGCCCCCAGCTCCCTGCGACTCTGCTCCTGGCAGCCGAGCCGAGCCGGAGCGGGAGCGTTGGCGGCGGCCCGGAACCTGCCGGGCCACTTTTGTGCTAGGGGCGGATTGTGGCAGGCAGACGGCCACGCCAAGTGGGCCTGGCAGAAAGGGGGCTCGGGCCTGCGCGCGGCCCTGGAAACCTCGGCTCCTCCCCGTCCCCGCCTCAGAGTCGCAGGAAACAAAGTCTCCGGACGCGCGGGCCGACCGGGGAGGGACTCCGGCGGCTCGGGCCCGGGCCCGCTCCGCGGTGGGGGCATCTGGGCTGGGCTGCCCGCCTGTGGGCAGTTTCAAGTCGGAATAAGCGGGTGGAAGTAGCTAGAGTGACAGGCTAGGCTCGTGTGTTGGTGTAGGTGGAGTGCCTGAGTTAGGTCCGTGAAACAGTTGTGTTCGTGTGGAGATGGAATTGTGTGTCTGAGCCAGGACTTAAGTCAGGATACGATGCGTAGGTGCTGAATGTGCTAATGGCGTGTTCGAGGCCGAAGAGGTCAGGGCTACCCCTGTGGGTTGTGGGAGTGAGTCAAGGTGTCCAGCTTGCCTTGGGCATCGAGATTACATCGAGGTAGGGCGACAACATGCAGCGGCGTGGCTCTAGTGTCCACGGAGGTGGAGAAATGCACTTCGTGTTCGGAATGTGTGTGCCAGAGTCCGGTCGTGGAGGGTGCCTCTGGGAGTCCAGCTC